GTGCTCTGCATTCTGATTCGCTAAAAACTCACTCCCGCTTCTTGTATCAAAACATAGGACTAACGCTTGGTCGCTTAGCAACCATGGTGCGAATGGCCACTGAACTTAAGCGAGTAGCTGAGGAATGGGACCCTTTGATGAGCCGCTCATTACAGTTCTCCAACGTAATCGATGGTGGCATGTCGGTGTACAAGGATCTTTTTGCAAAGAAGAAAAAAGAGCGACACTGTATTTGTATACATGTAATAGTTGCTAATTGTAAAAAAAAAAAAAAGTTTTCTATTTCGCGGATTTCACTTATCGCGGGTCATTTTCGGAACGTAACCCCCGCGATAAACGAGGGATTACTGTATATGTATATATATATATACATACACAGACATATATATATACAGACACCGTGAGTCAGAGACAGTCTGGAGGCAGTTTCATCACTTCCAAACAACCCTTTTATTTATATATATATATATATATATATATATATGTGTGTGTATATGTATATATTATATATTTATAAATATATGTATATATATGTTTGTGTGTATATATATGTATATATTATATATGTATAAATACTTGTATATATGTATTTGTGTGTATTTATATATATCTGTATGTATATATATATATTTGTATATATAATATATATACAGACACATATCTATATAATATATATATACACACACATAAATTACAGTATACTGACATCACTACATAATACATGTTGTGTATATTTATTTTCTTTGCTGACACTTTCACCAGACTCTTAAAACTCACGCCAGATGATATTTTATTTTTATGCCCAGTAGACGTCCTCATCTAGCGTGTGCTTAGCGTGTGCTTAGCGTGTATGTATCTTGTTTTTAGCTCCTGCTACAAAGTCTCCAGAGTGCCTCCGGGGTCAGAGGTCGGCGGTCGGTTATTTATTTTATATATATATTTTACATGGGTCAGAGACTGGACTGAAGCTCATGGGGCTGTGGACAATAAACGGTTTTGTAAAAAGAGGCAGAAATGTGTCGTAAGCTGGTGTTTGCTGACCTGATCTTAAAGAAATCTGAATTAAAAACACCCTTCAAATAGAAAGGAGATGCAAAGACGAGAGAACCCATCCTCATAAGACTGATTTAAAGATTTAGATTTAAAGAGTTAAAGTAGATTTTGACCTCATCTTCTCTTTGAGAAACTCACCTAGTTTTTTTTTATTCTGTGAAGAAACTGGGAGATTTTTTTTACCAAATGTTGATCCTTTTTTCAAAAGATTTACTCATTACTTTTGGTGCCGTTTAATAATAAATTCGGCAGCTTATTTGATTTATTTTTGTAGTTAAAAAAAATGATTCCAGTGATACAGGAGCATCTATCCAGCAGTTTCCAAAGAGAAAAGACAAAAGATAAAGAGCCTGAAGATCCACTTTAAGCTGCTGCTCTGCTGTAGGACTCAGAGGGGCTCATCCCTTGAGTTAGGGGCCTTTTTCTGACTAAAAAAAGATCAAAACTGGGCTAAAACTGAGAGAAAAAGTAGAAAATATCCAAACAAAAACTCAGATAAAGCTCATAAATCCTGGATCAGAGTCCCTAAAAACCCTTTAAAGGACGCCTGGCTGCTTTGAGGAAAAAAGGAAGAAATTAAAGCTGGATGGAGACTTTTTAAACTAATATTTATGCTTCTGATCCACTTTAAACCTCAGACGCTGGCTCATCCCTTGAGTTAGGGGCCTTTTTCTGCCTGAATGGCTCAGATTTAAGAGGCTGAACGAAGAAAAACTGGACTGGAAATGAGAGAAGAAGCAGAAAAACCCTGAAAGCTGCAGAGTTTGTGACTTTATGAACTCGAGATGTGGAGATATTTTGTGTTTCGGGCAGAAAAGAGGAAGTCAACAACATCTACACAAACGATTCACATCCTGTCCTGAAATCCAGCTGCTGCCACACACAGAATTCAGAGGTTTCTGGTAAAAAAAAGAGTAAAAAATAAACGAATTTTCTTTCTACATAACTGGATGCTGAACCTGTAACCTTCAATCGAACTTATTCTTATTCTCAATTAATAAGAAAGTTCAGGAATGCTTTAAACTGGCAGCTCACTGCAGTTTGGAGGATCATCTTCTGAAATTTAAACTTCTTTTTTATTATTCAAATCATCAGCTTTGGTATCAGGAAACGTCAAAACTAAAGAAGATCAAAACTTGTTAAAGGAATTCAGAAAAGTTTGATAAATCTGAAATGTTTTTCTTTATTATTATTTACTATTAAATAATTTTTGTATTATTATTCATTATTTTAAATATATTTTAGATATATCTATTTATTTATTACTATTATTTTTTTCTTTATTTCTGTCCGAGTGAGTTATTGGAAGAGGATTGAATTAATTTAAATTGTTTAATCTTCATCTCATCATGATTTTAACCTTTTCATCAACAAATCAGGTCTCTGGGTCTGTGAGCAACATTAAAGTAAAAACAATGAGAGGAGACAGATTCCTGGACCCATTTTCGGGTTAAAAACTTTAATATTTTCTGTTTAAACGTTTCAGTTTGAGCCTTCTGGGACATATAAAAGACCCACTGTGTGTTCCAGCTGTGCGATGAGCCGTAAAACGATGTTTTAAAGGTATATTTCAAGCATATTCGAACCATTTAATCTAATTAGAAATCAACCCCTCGGCAAGAAGAAGCCTTTTAGTTTGATCAGAATCAGGATGTCAGGAAGTGGAGGGGCGGGTCCGAGTCCTGGTCCTGGTCTGATCTGCTGACCACATGAGGAAGACGCTTTAAACCACACAGAAGAAGAAGAAGAAGAAGAAGAAGAAGAAGAAGAAGAAGATGGACTGGAGGGTGCTGGTGGTTCTTCTGTGGCTCGGCGGCTCGGGTAAGTCTGAGGCCAAACGTCTGTCTGTTGAAGCGTTTTCAGTCCTGTCCTGATGGCTTGTGGTCTGCTTCCTCCTCAGGACTCTGGGCTCAACAGGTTGCAGGTAAGAAGAGGGAAAGGACACAAGAGGGGGAGTCCAGCTTCTCTGTGACTGGTCAAACCAGCTAAAACCAGCTGAGATTAGCTAAGAACCAGCCCAGACCAGCTAAAACCAACTCAAATTAGCTAAGAACCAGTTAAAACCAGCTCAGATTAGCTAAGAACCAGCCCAGACAAGCTAAATCCAGCTCAGATTAGCTAAGAACCAGCCCAGACCAGCTAAAACCAGCTCAAATTAGCTAAGAACCAGTTAAAACCAGCTCAGATTAGCTAAGAACCAGCCCAGACCAGCTAAAACCAGCTCAGATTAGCTAAGAACCAGCCCAGACGAGCTAAAACCAGCTCAAACTAGCTAAAAACCAGCCCAGCCAAGATAAGAGCAGCTAGACTAGCTAAAACCAGCTCAGACCGGCTAAAACAAGCTAAGTCAGTCCAGCTAAAACCAGCTCAGACTAGCTAAAACCAGCTCAGACCAGCTAAAACCAGCTCAGACTAGCTAAAAACCAGCCCAGGCAAGCTAAGAGCAGCTAGACTAGCTAAATCCAGCTCAGACCAGCTAAAACAAGCTAAGTCAGTCCAGCTAAAACCAGCTCAAACTAGCTAAGAACCAGCCCAGACCAGCTAAAACCAGCTCAGATTAGCTAAGAACCATCTAAAACTAGCTCAGATTAGCTAAGAACCAGCCCAGACAAGCTAAATCCAGCTCAGATTAGCTAAGAACCAGCCCAGACCAGCTAAAACCAGCTCAAATTAGCTAAGAACCAGTTAAAACCAGCTCAAACTAGCTAAAAAAACAGCCCAGGCAAGCTAAGAGCAGCTATACTAGCTCAGACCGGCTAAAACCAGCTCAGACCGGCTATAACCAGCTTAGACCAGCTAAAAGAAGCTAAGTAAATCCAGCTAAAACTAGCTCAGACTAGCTAAAACTAGCTCAGAC